CAGACTGGGTTCTTAAGTATATTAATGACTGAGATTGACAGATTGCTAATCATTAAAAGGGGTGGCACAGTGACTCGGTGGTTAGCACTACTACCTCTCAGTGCCTGGGACCCGGGTTCAATTCCACCCTCGGGCGACTGTCTGTGTGGAGTTTGCACATTCTCCCCGTGTCTGCATGGGTTCCCTCCGGGTCCTCTGGTTTCCTCCCACAATCCAAAGGTTAGATGGATTGGCCATGCTAAATTGCCTGTAGTGTCCGGGATGTGTAAATTAGGTGGATTAGCCATGGGAAATGCAGGGCTATAGGAAAAGGGAAGGGGGAATGGGTCTGGGTCTAAGTGGGAAGCTGTCCAGAAGGTCGATATGGACTTGTTGGGCCAATTGGCCTGTTGTTTCCACAGTGTAGGCATTCTATGATGATTCTATGATAAATCAAGGATAATGCAACTGAGGCAGGAAGATTGAGCTGAGGATTATTAGATCAAACAGAGTCGAGTTAATGGGCAGAATAGCCTTGTTCGGTTCCTACCTCTTTAGTTGCTACAAATATTGTTCACTTACATGTCACTTGCAAGGTCAAACCTCCACAACAATTACCTTATTATCCCATAGCAGACTGTGCTCATTAGAGAGATTATATCATCCTAAAACACTAATTTTGAAATGGTAAGATCTCTTTTGAATTTAAATTAGTGCTGCAATTCGACAAATGTGCAATCCAACAACGACTGACACTAAGCGATGTTCATGGCATTGATGTGGAATTCAAGCTATGCTTAGATTGCTTTAGGAATATAGGTGACATGGGAGAGAAAGGAGGAGTTGGCTATTCAGCCAGAGTCTGTTCTACTATTCAGTGAGATCACAGTTCATCTGCAGTGTTACACCATATAGCTGCCTTTGTCCCATATTCCTTAATGCAATGAAAATTGATATAAACCTCAGATAAACTAACAACTGATCCAGTATCGACTGTCGACAGTTGCAGAAGACAGTTCGAAACTTCTAATACTCATGAAGTGCACAACTGACAGTTCTGGATCTAATTTTTAAGACTTTGCCCCTTAGTCCTAAACCTATCATCTTGCAAAAGTAGTTTCTTCCAAGTAACCCTAATATCGCCTCGAATATCTTTAAAACATAGATCACACAGAGGGGACAAAAAAAAAAATGTAATATGTGAAAATCAGGAGGTTGAAGGATGAGAGATACTTGGTGAAATCATAGTCACTCAGGAAACGGTACTGAGCAAACAGTTGGAGTTCCAGATTGCTAAGTCTTTGGGTTCTGATGGACTTCATAAACGATGTGACCAGCGAGCACGGTGTTACTTTTCAAAAATCTTAACATTCTGCAAAGCTTCTATCAGATTGGAAAACAGCAAATATAATCCCCGCATTCAAGAAAGGGAGGAAAGAAAACATTAACTGTAGATCAGTTAGCTTTACATTTGTCAAAGGAAAGGTGTTATAATTACAAGAAGGTTATAACTAGACACTTGGAAAACATGTTCATTGAGAAGTATCACCATGATTTATGAGGAACAGAAATCTTGTTTAAGCAATTCAGTTGGAATTCTTTGAAATAGTAACATGCACTCTGGATAAAGGTATAAGTTTGGATTTCCAGAATGCATTAGACAATGCGCATAAAAGATTACTGCAAACCAAAAAAAAAGGTAACATACTAGCATGGATGAAAGATTGGCTGACTGGCAGAAAACTGAGAGGATGCATAAATGTGTCTTTTATAGATTGGCAGGATGCAACAAGTGGGGTCACACAAGGGTCCTCAATATTTTACAATTATTATCAATTACTGAGATAAGGAAATCAAAGGCATGGCAGCTAAGTTTGCAGACAACACAAATACAGATCAGAAAGCATATCCTGAAGAGGAAATAAAGGGATGCTGACTGATGTAGATTGTTTAGTTGAGTGGGGAAAAAAATCTGGCAAATGGAATATGACATGGAAAAATGCAAAGTTGTTCCCTTTGGCAGGAACTCCAAGGTGCAGACAGATCTAGGTATTTTAGTTTATGAATCACAAAAGGATATCACGCAAGTGCTTAAGAGGCTGGTGGTATGCTACCTTTTATTATGAGAGGAACTGAACATAAAGCGAAGATTATATTTCAGTTATACAGGGCACTGGAGAGACCACAACACACATGCTGTGAGCAGTTTTGCTCTCCTTAATTACAGAAGGATGCAAATACATTGCAGGTAGTTCAAAAGCAGTTTACTAGGTTGATACCTCAAATGAGCAAATTGTCACAGGAGGAAAGATTAGACTGGGCTTATTTTCACTAGAGTTCAGAAGAGCAAGGGTGATGTGATTAGAGTTTGTAAGATCCTAAATAATCCAGGCAATGGTGGACATGAAAAAGACATTTCCTGTTGTGGGAGAGTCCAGAACCAGGGGAAGCAGGAACACTGCTTTAAATTAGGGGTCTGCGTTTTTAGGGCAGAGATGAGGGTATTTTTCTTTCAGAGGTTTACACTAATTTGGAGCTCTCTGCCTCAGACAGCAGTGGAGGTTGGGTTATCTAATGTTTATAAAGGCAGAGGTATATTGATTCCCTCACTTTATAAGAATTTGGAAACGTGGAACTCGGAACAAACAGGTTGGCCATGATCTTTTTGAATGGTGGAGTAGGTTGGAAGGGCTAAATGGCCTACCTTATGCTCTTAACTTGTACGTTTGCGTGTTCAAATTACCCCTTTACCATCTAAATTCTAGGGAATATAAAAATATTTGTTTAGTCTTTCAATGCAGCTTAGCCATTGGAGTCAGGTATCATTCTAGTAAAACAACAATGTACTCCCTCCAGTATCAATCCATCCTTCCTAAGGTGGGGTGCCCAGAACTGCTCACAGTACTCCAAGTGTGATTTAAGCTAGACATTTTTGATTAACAGAAGCTAGCTATTCAACTCTGTTACCATTTTCTGATTACTTCCTGCACCTGCTGTTGACATTTTAATGATCTACATACATGGAGACCAAATCTCTTTGGACCCCTCACTGTTTCCATCATGAGACAAATAAAAATCAGATAATCTGCTGTCATTTGCAAGACTAAACAACCAAAACACATCGAGAAATTACCTGGCATCACGTATGCCGACGCTGAAATCCATTTGTCACAGTTTCATCCATTCACTTAATTTATCCTTATCTAATTGCATTTTACCCTTTCATCAACGTACATTAAAGCCGGTGACATCAGCAACTTTGGGTGCGTGACTTTCTATCCTTCTAAATTGTTAATGAGTGAATTGACAGAAACAATTTTGCTTTGCACAATATTAATTTGCAGCAGCTTTAATGGAGGTGAAAATGCTTAATTGGCACCTGTCCACAATGCTAACCCATCAAGTCATTAACTGTAACATCAGTCTACCCTGAAGAACATTATTTTGCACTCCCATAAGACACCTGCAAAGATAGCTGAATATTCCCAAAGTTGGCAGTGAGGTAATCATACAGTGGCAATTCTTGTAATCATTTAATTTCACTGATGGCAAAAAGGTACAGTTAGTAACGTCACAGACAGCAAGTAATGTATGAAAACCACTCAGTCAAGATAAGCATCATTAGTGCTTTGTTACTCAATGCTTTAGCAAAGAAAGAACTTGCATTTATGCTGCACCTTAAATACATTAGTGAAATTCCTAAGAATTTCACAATTCCTTCTGAAGGGTAGTACCTATTGTAATGAGTGGTCATGCAGTAGCCAATCAAAACAGACGGTCCCACAAACAGCAAAAAAGCAAGCAACAGCATGTTTCCAATGATGGCGATTGATGGATGATACTGAGGGAGAAATAAATCCTGTTCTTTGAACAGTGCCTGAGCATGCCCTACATCCATCTGAGGCAGCAGGCAACAACTCAGTTAATATCCCAAGAAGATCACAAGAGTCAGCTGAATATCACGTGCAGAAATCTTGTATCAGAGCCTGATCTCTCAACCTGCTAGATCACACACTAGAATGCTACCCAGTAATTCAGACACTCCATATAATAATTATTTCAGCATTTAAATGCTTCTGACAAATAAGATCAAGGGTTACATTCATTTCAGCAAGTTATATAAACAGAGGAGCTATTCACATTCAAACTGCTTCTTAAAAGGTAATTATGGTCTCTTCTCAACAATCAATTTTCAACATTTTTTAATCTAACAATAATGAAAAGCATGAAATTCCAACATTTAAAAAAAGTCATGACACAAGTTACCCACTACATGCATTAATCCAAAGTAGAGAGAAAACAGCAGACAGTAATTAGATTTAACAAATACTGACACAGCCTAACAGAACTATTACTGAAATTCAACAGTTTAATTATTTTCAGAATCATTGGAATTGTGAAGACCTATAATGTACCAAAGGGAGAAAAAATGTATTGTAATTTAAACTCCCTTCAGGGCAAGGGCTTAATTAAAGGTGGTTGTGAAATATAAAACAGAGGTCTATTGCTACGAGAGCCTGTGTTTCAGCCAACTAGACAGGGATTTCCCTAACCAGGGCCCGTGGGGCAAGCAGAACTTAACCTTGCTCTGGATGCCATTCCAGGAGATGCAATTGTTAACATTTCTATTCTTACTATAGTCATTACAAAAATATTAATAAGGCAAGAACATTCCAAATTATACAATACCATTGGTTGAGAACAGGAATTTTCAGACCCTTCAGTGTTCCAACATTCAATCAAGAGTCAAGCTGACCTTTGCAGGGATAAGGAAAGACTTCATAGTGGTTACTGTTGTGGCAATAAACAGCGTACTCTTTAATGCATCTGATCTTTTCATCCACATATCCCGGAAAATGCTCAATGCTGGTCCAAAATTTAAAAGGCAAATGCTTGCCATTTAAGAAATATCATCTTTCATCCCAAAAGAGAAAGAATTTCATTTAAGACAGAACACCACGGGGTCAGCCAGCAAGCCTTTAGCAGATGTTATGTTGGAACCCCAGCAGTTAAATACTCACCCACACACAGAATGTTGAAGCAGAAACCTTGACACACTGACTTGTTGACTAACTGGTCTGGCATACTGTCAAAGCCAACGTGCCCAGACAGTGAAAGGTTGCGGGCACCTTCGGACTGAAAAACAGGAAGAAAAAAACAAATTAGGAAGGTAGGGAGAAATCAGACCAAGCTGAAAACTGTACTCGTTATATTTACAGGTTCATGCTTAATTATTTGCTAACATAGCACTTCAAAAAAATAAAAGTGAAGGCACATTATCACAAGGACAAGGAGTGACAATAGTTAATAAACTGCGTAACAAACAGTTAGACTGAAGCCATATGCAACATGGCTCTAACTGGATGCTGAAGTCATGTCAATTCATAGGCTTTGGGGCAGGTGATTAATATATTGTGACATCTTCTCAACTGACAGACAGTAACAAATTTGTTTTCAAAATCTACTTGGAGACAAGAAATGCAGTAAATAAAAAAGTGTTATAAACTTGACCAATTAAGCACTACTTGGCAGCCACTCAATGAGAAACTCCATTTAAAACAAGATCTTCAAACATTTTGAGACAAGATCAATTCCACACCCTCCCAATAGTAATTCACAATAAAATCTGACAAATATCTGCACCACCTAATAACAGGATACCTTTAATGAATGGTGTAGTCTAATTGAAAAATCAGATGTTTTCACAGCCTGCTGACCAGGTCCCGTTAGGGTACAGTTTCAAAAAAAAAAGGACTACGGTTTGAAGATAAGAAGATTTAAATTGAACAAGTTCTGTTGTTATGGTTACTCAGTTGGCAGGTCAGATAGGAACCTATCCGCTGTAGCATCACACAGTTAGAATCATAATTTGTTACATCACAACAGAATGGGCTTCAAGAATGAAACTGAAGTGCTAGCTTCACCGATTAATACAGAGATGTGCAAAACTACATTCTGACCACATATCATACAACAGACAGAAAACTTGATTGCATGTCAACCAGAACTGGCTATCAGCCCCAGGAATCCAGACACGGATCAGCATTCACCAACTAAAATACTTGAATCCATTTCCCAGATGCAATAAAACATTGCTGTTCATTTTGTTAAAAGTTTGATTTTCATTCTTTGGAATACATTGCCCGCTTCCTTTTTCCTCTCATTTCCAGTCTGTACATGTAAATAGGAGATACATACCCTTGCTTGATCAGCTATGGATCATGTCTGGAAGCCACTCTTTATTGGAAATAAAACCATCAAAGAAAGGCAGCCAAAGTCAAAACCCCAGTTAAGCTTAGTCCGAGTCTTATCCTGTGCAACACTGCTCGCCCACCAAGCCCTCCTCCCTGCGAGACAGAGGATCTCCCTCAGACACCCACAGCAGTATGTGCAAGAGACCAAGCTCAGCCTTCAATCCATCCATGAAAAATTTGTAACTTTGTGAGAATATGAAATCATTCTGCCAATCAGCAACTGTAATGCAGGAATATCCAATATACACCAGCATTATTAATAATTAATATATATGTCCAATTCCAGTTGCCATACTCCTAAAATTTTAAGTACAAACAAAATTTATTCTTTTTTATCATTTGAAACCATCCGATCCATTACGTAGTCACTCTCAGCAACACCTGGCATGAAATCCTACATCAGTGGTTTATATTCTTTTATTAATCTGCACTGCAAACACTTACCAATGGTTGAAAATGACTTGACTTCAAGTCATACCAAACTGGTAATTAACTAGCTGACCAGTTGTGTTACCTTGCAATCAATTATAATTAAATCCATTACTTAAGCCTCCAACAGGAGGCAAAGTAGGGTTCTTCTGACAGGGTGATAGTGTCCCTAGCTCTAATCCAGAAGGTCCAGATTCAATCACACCGTCTCCAAAGGTGTCCTAGCATGTCCAAACAGAGTGATTTAACAATTATCCAGCACTTAAAAACATCCCTGCAAAGTATTCACAGAACCACATGCATTGACCAGGAAACAAAAATCAATATATTTTGTTGAATTCTAAACTTCAACGGTTCATTGAAGAACCTGCCAAATTGATCAATCGTGTGCATTGTAGATCAATGAATCATCCATCTCTACCCAAGTTGTTGGTGTCACTGGCAATGAAGTGACAGCATGTTTATGGTTTAATAAATACAATTTATTCAACTAAAGGGAACAAATCTCATAAAAGCAACTTGGAGATCTGTCAGTCTTACTTTGATAATAAGGCTTCCCACAACAGTGTACAAAAATAATGGCCAAGAGGAAGAGTACATTATGCATTACAATATGTACAGTCATTAAGTATTTGATAACTAATAGTCAACACAGCATCGGAAAGAGGCATCTTGCCTAACCAAGTTCATGGACGTTTTGTTTTGAGGAAGTGGCATTGGCAAACAGTTAAAAAAAAAACAAACAGGATTTCTGAAAAAATCCTGATAAAATTCCATCAAAGCACATCACTGAAACTGAACACGGTATTCGTCAGAGAGAGAAAAACAAATCTGAATGGAAGGTGAGGTACGGAGTGGCACATTGGTTCAGTTTTAGGTCTTTTTTCAAATTGCTTCTCATCTGTGTGATTCATTTAGAACTCCAAAGTGATGTGGTCATTTTGCAAATAGCAACAGTGCTACAAAAAAAAATTAAACAATCAGTAGGTGGATAAATTAGCAGTAATGGAATTCAACGTAAGTAATTGTAGGGTAGCACACATTTCAGGAATGGATGTGTGTCGTGTGCATTGTGCAGAAATAATTGAAGGTGAGAGGAAAGGAATCTTAGTGTCAATAAATCAGACAATTCAAATGTCAAATCACTGTGGAGAAGCAATAAACAAAACAAATAGAAAATACTAAACTAGACTGATTGATCAGTTGTAGGCACTAACCAGGCCTGAGTCTGCTTAGCTTCCGAGATCAGACGTTTTCAGACTAGTATGGCTGTAGGCAGCCTTTCTGCTCCTATGATGCTGCTTGGCCTGCTGTGTTCATCCACCCCTGCACCTTGTTGTCTCGGATTCTCCAGCATCTGCAGTTCCTACTATCGCTGATTGATCAGTTGCTGGGAACAAGGAAGACTCCAAACAAAGCATAATGTTCTGTGGTCAGACCAGTTCTTCAACCTTTGAAAAAGAGCTGACTGAATGGAGGGGGGAGACAACAAGGTGCAGAGCTGGATGAACACAGCAGGCCAAGCAGCATCATAGGAGCAAAAAGGCTGACGTTTCGGGCCTAGATCCTTCATCAGGAATGGGGGAGGGGAAGGGGGTTCTGAAATAAATAGGGAGAGAGCGGGAGGCGGATAGAAGATGGATAGAGGAGAGGATAGGTGGAGAGGAAACAGGTCGAAGAGGTGGGGATGGAGCCAGTAAAGGTGAGTGTAGGTGGGGAGTTAGGGAGGGGATAGGTCAGTCTAGGGAGGACGGACAGGTCAAGGGGGCGGGATGAGGTTAGTAGGTAGGAGATGGGGATGCAGCTTGAGGTGGGAGGAGGGGATAGGTGGGAGGAAGGACAGGTTAGGGAGGCGGGGGCCAGCTGGGCTGGCTGAATGGGGACCTGATGTCTGCAGGTAGTACACTAGTCTACGTCAAGTACACTGGAACAAGGTACTAATGGAAAGAAATTTCAGGACAAAAATGACAGAAAACATTCATATAGCTATCAACACTTGCAATAACCTGATACAGACAGGGGTGACAATTCATTCAAAATTAGATTAACAGGTGAAATATTACTTTTCAATTTCCAAATGGAGGAAATATGATAAGTTCAACAACCTGGCTCTACATCAATCCTATACAGAAACATTCTTGGATTTATTTAACACCTGATAGCATCTCTCAAACTTCTGAGGGTTCACAGGCAACGAAGTGACAAGTCTTTCACTGTAGTAGCTCTTTCACAAATGATATCAAGGGGAACAACCAGTGAATCTGTTTTTGATGGTCTTGGTTGAAACCTGGCAGATAATTTGTTCTTCTTCAATTGCTACCACAGGACCTTTAACATTCACCTGAACCGTGAAATGAAGTTAACAGAAGGATAGTGCTTCTGTGAATATAGCAAATGTTCAGTAGTGTCAATCTAGATTATGTAATCAAGACGCAGTGTGCAGTTCCAGTCCACAATCCCATGGCTCAAGTGAATTATCAAAGGAGCCAAGATGGGAGTGAACAGAATATATATGGGGCCACTTGTCTGCTCAACTGTGACAATGAACCGGTCCATCCAAGTACTGCAGCTTAAAGATAATTCAGATATTAGAGATCAAAAGAACACACAACAAAGAGCTATTGTAGTTCTAAAAGCTTTTTCTCATATTCAGAAAGACCACCCAAACAGTAACAGATACCCCAGTGAACATTAAAACTAAACAATGTCATGTTGTTTTCAAGCTGTTTCTTCAAATAAAGTCACTATCTTCATTTTAACATAATTTTGCACTGTACTTCACCACCATCCTCAATGTGTGCATGGTGCATGTGTTACCATGCATCTGCTGTCCTTAGTGCACTATGGGATGTCATCAGGACTCACTGTAATATTCAACCTGGTGATGCCATTGCGAAGAAAGATGTTCTTGAGCTTTAAACAAAACTCGGAGCCAATGTTCGAAGGAAAGAACGCCCTATATAGTGTCCAAAATTGATTTTCTCTTCCCCCCCACCTCCTCCACATCCCTCCCACCCACACACACATATGGAAAATACCAAGACTGCATATATCTATGAAAGAAGGCCCATTTTTAAATTATGTCACTTTCAAATTTGTGAGGTGTTCCGTCCTTGGGTCAGAGACAAGGCCATTGAAGTATACAAAGTCTAGGGCAAGGATACAGAATTAGCTCATGGGCAGAAAACAAGGAGTGGGGATAAGGGGTTCTTTTTCAGGTTGGCAACCCGTGACCAGTGGGGTTATACAAGGATCAGTGCTGGGACCACAACTGATTACACTATATATTAATGACCTGAAGGAAGCGTTTTCGGGCAGCACACCAGTCAGTGGTTAGCACTGCTGCTTCAAAGCACCAGGGACCCAGGTCCAATTCCACCCTTGGGCGACTGTCTGTGTGGAGTTTGCACATTCTCCCCGTGTCTGTGTGGGTTTCCTCCAGGTGCTCTGGTT